TCGAAGCCAGAGCACTAGTTATGTGCTGCAACTCATCCGCGCTGTGTGAAAACAACGCACAGTCGTCAGCAAACAGCAACATACGGATAGTTGTCTCACAGACTAGAGTTCTCGCACTGAAACGACGGATGTTCAGCAACACACCATCAATACTGTGCTCCACTATTCACTGAGATACATGTTTGTTTACAGAAGAGTAGTAGGGGACGTTGAATGGTAAAGGTAGGAATTCATCACATCTAGACACACTACGACAGCCGTCACACGCACGGAAAAGCACTGTACATGGTGTCATCCTTTCGGGAATCGTCAGCAGTGCGCATCCCATCGACCCTGGTTGTACTCGAACCCGAAACTCGACTGTTGCCAGTTCGTGGTCGAGACCACTGAGCTACGGGGGACGGCAACGACCATCGTGAATAAGTTACTAGATGTGATATAGCGCCGCTCGCTATCCACTGACTTACACGTTGCTGCCGTGCAGAGGACAGAGTAGCCCCCTCACCAAGCGACGTGCTTACCAAACTTAAGCTGCCAATTAACTTTTAGCAGTATAAGCAGTTTGGTCTGCTTATTGTTTACAGAAGAGTAGCAAGGGGTGTTGAATGGTAAAAGTAGAAATTCGTCCCATCTAGACTCACTCAGACAGCCGTCACATGCCCGAAAAAACACTGTACGCGCGTTTCATCCTTTCGGTAGCTCAGTGGTCTCAACCACGGACTGGCAACAGTCGAGTTGCGGGTTCGAGTCCTACCAGCGTCCGATGGAATGCGCACTGCTGACGATTCCCGAAAGGATGCAACGCGCGTATAGTGCTTTTCTGGGCGTGTGACGGCTGTCTGAGTGAGTCTAGGTGTGACGAATTTCTACCTATCCACTTTTGTGTAAGCAGTTGCAGCGGAAAGCGCCCTCTCCGTACAACTTTCAATAACACTGGAGGCTCAGCAACTCTGAAGCGACCATTGTAATAAGGTAGAAATATCCAGCTAATCCAGTTGAGACTAAGCGTACGAGTTCAGTTTTCCTCCTGCCTCACTGCAATCGATATCAGAATAGGTAGGTGTACACCGACCAAAAATTACCCAGAGCACCCCTGCGTGTGACTCCAACTCCCGAGGCTTCAAAGTGATAAAACCCTTGTACGTGCAACGCCGTAATAGTTTTTAGCTATTACGAACGCACGCTCAAAGATTCAACCTCTTCTCTGGTCCAACTCACTACTCACCCATCATCATCTTATTCATTTGTAAAACGGAAACGGTATAATGCAAGAGAAAACAACTTTTTGGACATTAGTTTCCTGCCACCGCTCTATAATGTAAGAGTACGCCTATTTGGACTGTTATATTCCCACACCAACCGAATCACCAACATATGCTATGGTGAGTCAGAGGATGATCCAGTTACTGGAACATCTAGTACCTTCAATGCAGTACGATGTAGAGCTCAGCGTGACTCAACGACCTCACAACAAGCAGCTTTTAGACACAGTGACGAAAAGTGCAAGTTTGCCCACCACTTTTATTCCTAGCTACCAGTTCCTTTAAATTCGGTACTTATTAACATTTGCTCTCATTTACCTAAATTGGATACATTTTCAACGCTTATGTTTATAAACTCTCCTGAGCTTGCTTTGGTTGCCGAAACGTTGTGCATATCCGAAATTATGGACTCTCAGCTTAACATCTCAGACTATGAACTTTGCCGCAAAGATCGTTCACACAAACATGGCGGTGGCTGTGTCATATACCTTCGTAATGGCCATAGTGCAATTCCTGTCGATCAATATACCCGCAGGGAACTAGAAGATACACCATGGGTAGTGATGCAATCTCTTGGTTTTCTAGCGGGTTGTATCTACCAGTTGTTCATAGCTACTCCTTATGAAACTCAGGTAATTGATGTGATCAATACTCCGTCCAGTATCAGTTACAATTTCAAACTTATGTGCGGAGATTTGAAGCTTCCATATGTTAACTAATAGCTGCTTACAGCAGCGGCCAACGCGGGAATGAGGAAATTACCTCCTGTGTTCACCTCAATGGCTGGACCTAGCAAGTTAGAGAGCACACTAGAAGTACCAGTATCGAGATGTTGTATTCACGTTGGGGATCCCTTTCGCACATGTACCCGTTGATAATCCATTGCCAGGTTGTTACCGCAATACTGTATATTGTAACAGAAAACTATTGAAGCACTTAAACTATCAAGCGCAGTGTAACAACAAAATCACGAACGCAGCAGGTTGATGGGAAAGCATTTAATGAATGTATCATTACCGTGAACTGGAACACATCATTCTCAACTCAACTCTGCTGCCGATGCAAATGAATTTATCCGCAACAGGCATATATATATATATATATATATATATATATATATATATATATATATATATATATATATAAATGAACGTATGGGCACCTGTCACATGAAGAAATACCTGAGGCATAGTTATCAGCACAAGCTTCTTAACAATGTCACAACCAAAATACTGCACCTTAAAGCATTATATCACAGCGGCCGCAACTACCCCACATGGCTACAGGCACCTGAATCTCCTTGGCAACTACAACGGTTAGCCCAGAGCTAAAATCAGTGAAGAAAGTCAGACGCTCCGAAATCATGAAAAAGCTTGCACACTGATTCAGCTAATCTAAAGAAGAAATCCTTAACCCAGTCAGGAAACTGAAACGCTGACGTTAGACACTAGTCCAATAACGCACGATATCCCCTTTTATGTGCTAGCCAGTCCATTCTTGCTTTGCCTCCTTCTTTGTCATTGACACTCAGATGTCTCATCGCCTCACTCCCAAGTAGTACAAAAGAGTCATTCTGCAATATTATTGTGAGCTTGATAGAGTTGCAGAAGGTCATCGCACCCACAAAGACATCATCCAGTTCGAGCCCAGCTGGCATCCACCCAGCTGTCAAAACCATCAGCGGAAAAATATTCTTTTTATTAAACATCTTCATTACCACGCTAACTACCGGCCGCTTGCATCTCAGTGGAAGCAATCCATTATAATGCCTAATCATAAATGTGGCTGGCGAAATGAACTGTAAATCTGCTTTACGATAAACCACACATCTGCTGCTACATAAGTCCTAGAAATAATAGTCAAGAAGCGTGTTATTTAATTTCTTACACGATTGGACCCGATCAATTGCTCACAGCATGTCTTGCTCTCATGATGCTCCTGCGTTATCTATCGGCTACAATAATTCGATCATGTTACGACTATATCAAAAGAATTGCAATCATCATGCTTCACTTGGACATGCAAAATGCATTTGGCCGCGTGCTACACAAAACACCTGATCTCCGTGTCAGATTCATATAGCATTGGAAACTCTCTGCTAAGCTAGTTCATATACTTAATCCATCGAACCCAAAGAGTAATTATAGGTCAGCAATACTACGTCAAAACGAAGAAACTGTGGCGTCTTCCGGGGAAGTGTGCTTGGACAACTTATTGTCCTAATATACCTAAATAACGAATGCGACCTCATCAAACACGGAGACTTGTTTCCGTTTGCAGATGAGTTCAAAGTGGTCCACTAATTCACACCATGGATGCATACGCAAAGATCCACTCATACTAAATATATAAACTGAACACCTATTGATAAATTTCTCCACAAGAAATGCCCGAGTACTTGGGTAAAGATGCTACACTCCGAAACGCTCTGTTACTCATGTCAGTAAGGTGATCCCAACGTTTGATGTAGTTGTGAATCTGGGAACTGGGTAAGCCAACTCCTTTACTTTTTCTGAACATGCACATTCGCACGTTGCATAAAGTAAACAGACAACCGGTTACGTCACCAGAACATTCTCCCTTACCTGAAACACGATCTGAGTTTACCAAAATAATTCTGAGACCCACTCTGGTGTATTGTACTATCATACACTACCAAACAAGAAGGACAGAAAAACACGAGGAAATTTCCAACTAGCGTTTACCAAACTGGCCATGGTGCGCTGCTCAACCCTGATTTACTATGATAGATGTCATCACCTACAACTGGATCTCATTCGGCTGAGACGATTGAAGAACACTCTACTTCTCTTCAGCATTATAAAGAAAGGGATTCACACAGACAACACTTTGCTCAAACTGCGGAAAGCTGTCTACTTTAGTCTTAATGGTGACTACTCTTTGCTCTCAAAGCTTTCTAGTCATAAAAGCCGATCGACATTCTTTATAGTGATACATGCCAAGCTGTAAAACCGACTACCACTACAGGTACGAACGGGTGCTCCCCATTCAATATTCCGAAATTCTCTATAGAACTTCCTAAATATTCCGAATATGGTAAAGACGATTGGCGCAAAACAATCTCCAGAAACATTGGCGGAAAATGGCTAAAGATCATATGAACAGCTAGAAGCCTGCAGTCCAATTACCCAGTCTTTATGATTACCAATGAAATTAAATGTGCGCCAGCTCTATGCCCCTTCCCTTTGGATTCTCCTAAGTCCAGCTAGGCAGCAAATTAAAAAAGGCACCAATATTCGTACTTGTTAAATTTTAAATGAACGTGTTGATGATCTGAGGGAAAATACATGCCCCGAAATACTATCGTTTATCTTTTCTTCTTGTCATGTGTTAAACCGCGTGAACCATGACACTATTTTTGTGCTCAAACGGTCGCTCTGGCTCGTCGGTAGACACAGTAACTTTTATTTACCGAAAAGCGGGTGCCACGGTCGGAAACTCGACGGACACATTTCTCTATACCTCATGAAAACTGAAAACCGCAGTGCGATTTCATCCATGGGGTTGTGAATCTGGGTCCGTTCTTCCCTTGGATCACCGGTTGAGCGGCAAAATTTTGCTGTCATGTGAAAGTTACAATTAGTCCAAGCCCTTTGGGCCATCACGTAGATCTGAATTCAACAGCAAAAATACATGAGAAGTTCAATGATTTATGCCAGAATTATGCAATGTGGTACATGAGGCTGGATCGCGCACTACTGGAGCAATACAACTTACCATTCATTATTCCCACTATCCGCCATAATCGGAAAACGATCAGCAATCCGGCCGCTGCGCCAACTGCATCCAGTTGGTCTGAAGAAGTGCCTTCGGAGGATTGATGAAGGCCGGACCCATGTGCTGAATGTTGGTGGGCAACATGCGCTGCAATGATGATCGCATCCACTATCAAACTGATCACGACAACCACCAGGTCCAGAACCTCAATCCAATGTCTGAAGAAAGTTTTCGGTCCCATTGCAAACAACTTCATGGAGATCTCAATGATAAAGATGGAGATTATTCCAATGCTGACGCATTCCAACCCAAACCGAGCTTCGTTCAAACGATTTCTTTGCTCTCCTGGCTTTTAAACGGAAAGCGGGAGGGGACACTAGCCAGGGAAAAATCAGTCCCATAGCAGTAAGGAGAGTACAACGGTTGGATGGTAAGCTATACTGGCTATCTTGTTTACATATAAGCGGAGCGAATGTAGCTGTTTTATTCTTTGACTAGTTGGGAGCTGTGTTGTTAATAACTTAGTGATACGTCTACACCACAGTAAAAGTGAATGCTTTATAAAAGTACATTATCAGTAAAAATTTTGCTTCGGCACCACCACCGTGGCACTCGGCGTCCTCCACGCTGCCTATGCGTGAGTAGCTATATCTATGACGTCCTACAATGGGTGTGTAATCTAATAACAAGGTATATTTCTCCCGGTGCCGAGAAACCCAGCCCACAAAGGGGCGGATCATGGGTGTAATTTTCTAATCTGCTCTAAGCACACTGTCCATTTATAGCGGCCAACAATGATAAACTAGTTAAAACGCAATGAGATTCATTGAAGTGCACAAGTTGAATTCTTCTGCTTTGCATCAAATATGACCCACCTCCGTAAACTGCTTACATGTGTATTGAATCTGATCTTTACAACACCATCCGGATCGAAGTACCATATTAGCACATGCAGTAGAGTATAGATTGGTTTCCTATGGGGATGGTGGAGCAGCTAGTGGATGTGCCGGAAAATGCTCCCTTCAGATGTAGCCAACACAATTCAATCGTTCGCGAATTGATTCCTACTTTATAAGGCTCAATAGTATTCAAACTAATGGAAAACGTACCAAATCGCTGGACCTAAAGTAGTTGTTGACTGTGAAGCGTTAACTACGACTACATTCGGACTCGATACCAAGAAGACTGAAACCACAACCGCTGCATCAAAGTCTGCATGTACAATGTATGGTACTTGAAATTTGGGCAGCAAAATCTGTGCTCGATTCCACACCTCAAGCAGTCTTTCCATAAAGTTTTGTGGCATGTGGCTACTCGTTAGTAGCTCTGAGCGACTGTATCGTGTTCCATTATTTAGGCTGATTGAGTGGGATCAGTTAAACTTTGTCACAAACCGCTCACATCTAGCTTAAGTGCCTCAATTTCCAATAGCAACACGGCAACCAGTATCATAGCGTCAACCGAAGCCATAATGATAACAATGATGTTCACTGGTACGGAATGCAGAACACGCTGAAGGTAACGCCGGCTCTCGATACATCTGGCAGTATCAGCTGGCCCTCTGTGTGATCCATGGCTTGTCCAGTTTGAGAAATTCCGAAGCTTCTCCAAGTAATCTGTGTCACTTTCATCATCTGTCTGCATTGTTTGTACATATTCGCGTTCCGCGGAGCAATCGCATTTAATCCCGCAATTGGCTTTGGGCGACATATGTACCAGAAGAGAGTAAGATATCTGTAAAGCAGGGGAATCGAGATAAAAGCGGTATGGAGGACGATGCAGTTGGATACGTGAGTTTACTGCTTAAACACACCATAAACTGGCGTTCTCTGTGCTCACATATATGCAATGTAAAGTCTTACTTTTATAGTACTGTTCCATCAATCAAAGCCTAACAAGCAATACAGTGAACGAATGGCGTCTGGGGACGCACCAGACGGAGTTCACTGGACCCAGTGGGCAAATTCATCTCCCTACATGTGTCAGTTAGCTGATGGATATTTTGTGGCGCTATTCTGATCTTCCTCGTTTCTTGTTTAACTGGGTCATTTTCACTTACTCCTGTTTACCAAATAAAACCAAGTTCGCGTAAAATGCATTCCAACATTCCCGTTTGTACAGACAAGGTGAGAGGGAATATGACAGATGCATGCGAAAATTATATCGCTGCTTCGGTAAAGCCAATGTGTTGAGAAATGGAGAAGACAAATGGTCAGTGTGGTGTAAAATGATATGACGTGCGATATTTGCAATTGAGTCACGAGCCTGTGCAGTACGAACTGATTTCACCTGTGCTGGGTTGGATTTGGTCTAATACACTAGGAACAGTTTATAGGTTTTGATGAACCAATGCATCATTCAGAAAAGGAGGCCTTACGTATTAACGTTTAACTCTTTTTGGAGGTCACCGGCTTTTTAGGACTAGTTAAACGCAGATAAGGTTTAGGGGGGAACTGGCATATACACAGTGTTTTACTCAGTTTGCAAATAGGATAGCTTTGTTGAGAGTAGTAGACGATATACATGCCCTGAGTGTAGTTTAGTTCTGCAGCCCCCAGTCAGAAAGCCGGCAGAACATATGACAAAAGTGTGAACATAATCCTCGCCCTTTTCACTAGTCTTGATATCTTCCCGTCTTACATGAATACTCCTAGGTTGCTGTAGTCAAGTCTACATTAAATGTGCAAATAAGAAGGAAACCCCGCTTTTATCTCTACATTCTGTCAATGTTTTACGCTGCTCTTACCATGCCTTGCTTTTTTAAAGTACTCACATCATTACAGCTGAGTCGATATGACCGTATGCGATTGCTGCCATATTCTTAAACATTTTACTCCAACCCTTCTCGTGCTTTTCTTTGCATTTTCTCCTAATCCCTGGCCTGTGATGGCAATCTCTCGCTTTTACATACTTCTGCTGCAGATTTTGTTCTATCATCAACATGGTACGTTGCAGTGCACTAGCAGCTGGAAGTATTTTAAATACAAATTATGGGGAAAACCAAAAGTAAATTATACTTAGCGCGCTACAGAAGCAAATCAGTGGTTTCGTTCAGTAGAGGGTAACAGCTTGAAATGCCGACGATTTGCAACCAAATAACCGACCCTTAGCGCTCTTGGCTTGGACGCGGTTAAAAGCTGAATTGGCTATACACAATTACACTGTGGAGTGAACCTACTATTGGAGATATTCCCCGATCAGACGCACTGTAACATACATTATAGCATCTCTAAAATGGTTGTTTGAATGAAAACTATTGATCCTCGTTATCTTTGACGCGCCCATTTGATGCCGCTTGCTGCTTTCATTTGCCGTTGTACATCAGCTAATCAGATTATTCAAGTCCACCTTGGCTCAATTCAGCATGGATTTCGTGCAGCAAAACATTAAAACTGTTTTGTTTTAATAGCTAATAAGAGAATGGAGTTTGAGAAGTTTCAGTGGCGACAGAGGTGCACGTCACATTTTACCCACAGTCGCATCCTTTTACACTGCCTGTCTTTTCGACTTCTCTCCGTTCCATTTGGTTGCTAATTGCAGGATTTGCACTTTCACCCCTCTATATTTTAGTCGGCGCGATCAGTCAACCTGCCCTACCGACTACCGCATAGATAATTGCTCTACTCCACCTGCCCTATTCCCGACCGTATGACGAAGAGATGCACCACGCAAGATGTGACCTTCCAGTGCTCTTACCTCGACTTGAAAATAAATAAGCGAACATCAAGCAACGGCTAGACGCCCTCAGCTCGCCAACCAAGCAGCTGTTGTGCCATCACAAAGGCGACAACAATCGGGATCAGAAAGGCAGCCTACTGTGCGGCGTAGGTTTGCCACCCGATATCACAATAACGGAAACATACTTCAAATGACGAAAACACAAAAGGTAGCAGAAGATAAATTTTTGTTTATTGCGGACACGAGCTACCAGCAGTTGGCAGCTAGGAAACGCATGCTCGTCCCTTGGAAGAATGGTGATACATCCGTGAGGAGATCTGTACTGAGGAGATTATCCTTCAGTCCATCTTAAGGCTACCAGTATCGCCTCACTACAACGGAATTTGACTGAGGATCCTAAAATTTATTTTTCATGCCCTACAGATGGCGCAGAAACTAAGACGTAGCTGACATAAACTGCGTAACATCGATCCTTCGTAATTACGATCAAGGAGAGTATTTAGAGAACTTCAGTCACCAGACGTCACTGAGAAAACGACGCAACTCCAGACTCAATGCACTCAAAACAGAGATTCATAAAAATGTGTGCTCAGACCAGCAGCTATTGAGAATATAAATACTGAACTAAACACTGCATGTGCATGTGAAATCAACAACTGATTGCCTACAACTCTGGGATTGCGGGTGTTCTCCGAGCAGGCTAATTTGGCTGCAAGCGTTTCATCGTCAGGCTAGACGATATCATCAGTGCAATATATGCGGGTCAGTACAGATAAAAGTGATTATTCATCAATTGCAAATTATTGAGAATACCTGCAGCTCCGGGTGCAGATGAGAGGATTGTCCTGTTCTTCGAGCCGGGCATTTCGGTTGCAGACGTTTCGTTACCAAACTAGGTAACATCTTCAGTGCGGCTATTCAGTCCTGATTCGCGGTCTCGCAAACCAATGTCAGATCCGAGTGACTATTGATTGTTGCCTGCTTCGAATGTCAGCTTTCGATCTGTTCACGTGAATCGGTCTAGTGGGCACCTCTTCACCTTGTCGATCTGGTGCCTAATGCTGGCTCAACCTGCAGCGCTTCATAGACACCCTCCAACTCCAGGTGTTTGTTGATTGAGTTCCTGCCAGAATGCCAGGCCTCGAGGAACTCACGCGCTCTGTGGTTTCTTGCTCTTCTAACTATTTCAACGTTCTCCAGATCGAACTGATGGTTCTCGGCATCCATGTGTACTGGCATTAAGGATTTCTCATCATGGCGGCGGATGGCCAGACTAGGTACATGCAGTCTTGTGCCAAGTTTTCTTCCAGTCTGGCCTACATAGTACTTGTCACAGTTCTTGCAGGAAATTTCGTAAACTACACCCGATGTATCTTTCATAGTGAGTCTGTCCTTCACCTTAAAAAGTTTACTTCGTATGGTTTCCGTTGCTTTGTGTTCAACAGTTATCCCTTGAGTCATTAGAAGCCTCGCTGCCATTTCAGAAATCCCATGGATGTAAGGTAGAATAATCGCTCTTCTTTCTGTTGCACGTGAGGATGTGGGTTGAGAAATCCTTAATGTCAGTGCACATGGATGCCGAGAACCATCAGTTCGATCTGGAGAACGTTGAAATAGTTAGAAGAGCAAGAAACCACAGAGCGCGTGAGTTCCTCGAGGCCTGGCATTCTGGCAGGAACTCAATCAACAAACACCTGGAGTTGGAGGGTGTCTATGAAGCGCTGCAGGTTGAGCCAGCATTAGGCACCAGATCGACAAGGTGAAGAGGTGCCCACTAGACCGATTCACGTGAACAGATCGAAAGCTGACATTCGAAGCAGGCAACAATCAATAGTCACTCGGATCTGACATTGGTTTGCGAGACCGCGAATCAGGACTGAATAGCCGCACTGAAGATGTTACCTAGTTTGGTAACGAAACGTCTGCAACCGAAATGCCCGGCTCGAAGAACAGGACAATCCTCTCATCCACACCCCGAGCTACAGGTATTCTCAATAATTTCCAAACAATTCGGGCGCGATGCGCTAACATCCGCTCGTCCATGGGAGACCTTTGCTAACCGGCAATCCTCCACTCACGAGCAACTCTACTTCCTGCACGTGTGTTTGCGAAGACATGTCCTACCACCAATTATGCGCTATCGTCCACCCATCAACAATCCGTTGGTTTGGAAAATCACCGAACAACATGGATGACGAATGGTACGTCAGTTGATCACGGACGCACACAACCGATGGCAAAAGTATCAACGAGTAATCGATCAACAAAATGCCATTTGCTTGTCCAACCTCGGGGAGCTGTTAACCAGAGAGCTTGAGAAAGCGATTGCCATTAGTACCCAAAAGACCAACTTCCAAACAAAGCAAAAACTAAAAAGGAAGTTGGACAGAATTTCGCAACAAAAGCCAGCAAACGAAGAGGACGCATGGATTAAGAATCTATCCAAACTAACCCTATCAGATACAGAAAGAGCAGTTATTGTGCGTGGTTTGCAAGTCAATTACAAAGATTCTAATCCCATTGATTTCCTTGCCCCACTTGAATCAACGCTGACCACATCAATCATCACAACTGAGGCCCAACATGCAATTAGACACAGCATCATCCCCGCTCTGAGTCACAAAGTGGAAAACAAACATATTCAGTGTAAGCGAACGAAAGGCACTGGCAAACCTTAGAAAAGACAAAACTATTGTTATATTACCGGCCGAAAAGGGACGTCTTACTGTAATAATGGACAAATCTGACTACATGAAGTAAGCACAAGAACTGCTCGGAGATGTGAACACCTACCAGCCGATAAGTGAAGACCCTACCAAACGTATGGAAAGCAAGATCAACAAAACTCTTCAAAGACTGGAACAAATGAGACAGCCCACGAAGTTAGAACACAGCAAGATGAAACCCGAGGATTCAGTGCAGCCACGGTTCTACGGCCTACCTAAAGTACACAAAATTGGGTACCATTTCGCCCTATCGTGTCATTACCCGGGGCACCAAATTACAAGCTGTCTAAGGAAATTTGGAAACGGTTGAAACACCTAATCGCAGGCTCAGAGCACTCAATCCAGTCAGTAGAACAATTCCGTGAAAAACTTAAGGGAATAACAGTAGAAAAAGACGAGATAATGGTCTCTTTTGACGTTACAGCTTTGTTCACATCAATTGACACGGCGCTGGCGAGGCAAACAATGACGACTCTGCTTGAACAACAAGAAGCGGTAAATACCAGCAACCGAATTGAAGCCACACAAATGTTGGAGTTGCTTGACTTCTGTCTCACCACACATTTCACTTTCAATGGTCAAATGTACAAACAGCTAACGCGTACGCCAATGGGATCGCCAATCTCTGGACTGGTAGCGGAAGCAGTGATGCAAAGCTTGGAACAAAAGGCATTGCCAAAAGTGGAGCCCAAAGTTTGGGTACGTTACGTAGACGATACTTTTGTCATCTTCAAACGCCCTAGACTACAAGAAACACATCAACTAATCAACAATATATTTTCCGGCATCCATTTCACCAAAGAGGAAGAGAACAATGATCAGTTGCCATTTTTGGACGTGCTCGTGAGAAGACATGCTTCTGGGTCACTGGAAACAACAGTTTATCGGAAAGCGACCCACACCGATCAGATCTTAAACTATCGCAGTAACCATCCGACCATGTACAAGCGAAGTTGCGTGAGGACGCTTTTCAAACGTGCCCATACACCTTGTAGCACGCCGCAACTGAGGAAGGCGGAGGAAGACGACCTATTTAGCGTGTTTCAGAGAAATTCGTACCCTAAAAGCTTTATTCTACTCTGCGTGATGTCGAAGAGCCAGTCACAACCCACATCCTCACGTGCAACAGAAAGAAGAGCGATTATTCTACCTTACATCCATGGGATTTCTGAAATGGCAGCGAGGCTTCTAATGACTCAAGGGATAACTGTTGAACACAAAGCAACGGAAACCATACGAAGTAAACTTTTTAAGGTGAAGGACAGACTCACTATGAAAGATACATCGGGTGTAGTTTACAAAATTTCCTGCAAGAACTGTGACAAGTACTATGTAGGCCAGACTGGAAGAAAACTTGGCACAAGACTGCATGTACCTAGTCTGGCCATCCGCCGCCATGATGAGAAATCCTTAATGGCAGTACACATGGATGCCGAGAACCATCAGTTCGATCTGGAGAACGTTGAAATAGTTAGAAGAGCAAGAAACCACAGAGCGCGTGAGTTCCTCGAGGCCTGGCATTCTGGCAGGAACTCAATCAACAAACACCTGGAGTTGGAGGGTGTCTATGAAGCGCTGCAGGTTGAGGCAGCATTAGGCACCAGATCGACAAGGTGAAGAGGTGCCCACTAGACCGATTCACGTGAACAGATCGAAAGCTGACATTCGAAGCAGGCAACAATCAATAGTCACTCGGATCTGACATTGGTTTGCGAGACCGCGAATCAGGATTGAATAGCCGCACTGAAGATGTTACCTAGTTTGGTAACGAAACGTCTGCAACCGAAATGCCCGGCTCGAAGAACAGGACAATCCTCTCGTTGATCGCTTGTTTCGAACATCAGGACTCGTTTGGTCCACTTGAGTTGACCGTGTGGTCAGCTCTTGCGTACTGTTGGCTATAGTCCGCATTAATGACCTTCCTTTTTCCTGTTGATCTGGGGCGGAATATTGGTTTGACTCTCAGTGCTTCATAGACATTGTCTATATTTAAGTATCTGTTGCTTGAGTTCTTCCCTGAGTACCAAGGCTCGATGAACTGGCGTTCTTTTCGACTTTTCCCTGCCTACGATCCTGACATTCTCTAAATAAGATTGATGATTCTCGACGTCCATATCTACCGACATCACGGAGTTCTGGTCATGTAGGCGGATGGCTAGGCAATGCTCATGAAGCTTATTGCCGAGCTTTCTTCCTGTCTGACCCACATAATATTTGTTACAATTTTGCAGTGGATTTTGTAAAGCACACCACTTGTTTGTTCTTTGTCATGCCGGTCCATACCATTGAAGAGCTTGTCTCGGATAGTTTCTGTCGGCTAGTGAGCAACTCAGATTCCAAAAGGTAGTAGCAGTCTCGCCGCCATCTCAGAGACGCCGTTGATGTATGGTAGAATGATTGTCATTTTATCCATTTCTGTTGTATGTTCAAGCGTCGGTCGTTTTATTGATGTTAAACAACATAGAATGAAATTCCTGGGATACCCATTCCGTGTAAACATTTCGAACAGATGATCTTCTTCCGCTTTCCTAAGCTGTGGGGTGCTGCAATGTTTCTGAGCTCTTTTAAATAGAGTTGTTACGCAACTGCGCAAGTAAACTGTTGGATGATTGCTGCGACAATTCAGGATTTGGTCTGTATTCGTCACTAACTGATAAACTGTTGTCTCCAATTGTCCAGCAGCATGTCTTTTTTAATAGAATATCCAAGTATGGTAGCTGACAACTGCTCTCGTCTTCTTTAGTGAAACGGATACCAGTAAACGTGTTGTTTATTAGCTGATGTATTTATTCCAGTTTCGAGCTGCTATACAGCCACGTAAACAAACTTCGCCGCGTTAAGCGTGGAATTCCTGCTCTGCACACATCATGCGGGTTGGCGCAAACGGCACAAATAGGCGGTCAACGTGCTTGGACAATTAGTTGACGTTACCTTGCAAGGTGTGCAATCACCCCACACCATGGCTGCCCACTTCATGAGGCAATCAGGCCTTAAGCATATATCTTTCACAACCGTAGCTGTATTGAAGCGTCTAATGTCCTTGAACGAATACAGCTCCGCGGGTGCGGACGGCGTTCGCCTAAAGGCGTTGTAAGTTGATGCCATGAGTTGAGCTTAATTGTCACCAACACTCTTTCAGCGATCTTAACGACATGCACGTCCCCAAGATTTGAAAGCACGGTATCATCAGCACTTCAATCTACAGTGGTAGCAGCGCAGAATCCTCGACTTGACTTGACAATTAGGTTAGATTTCAGTCTGCCCCGACGCACCAGCGGCACCATCATACAACAA